AGAAAAGATGTAATAATCCAAAATAAATTAGAGCAAACTGTTCGAAGCTGTTCAAACAATAAGTAATTTATCAAGACGAAAATTCAAGGATCATCCACAATATCTTTAGTTTTGATTATCTCAAATTAAGAACATCTTTAGCATTTTTCTTATCATAGTAGAATTTATTTCTACTAATGAAACAGTCGTGAAAACGTGAGAGTTCTCCTCTTGAATTTTGCATAATTGGATAGCTGTTTGGTTATAAAAGAACAGGACCAAATCTCAAGGAATCTCAGAACTAATCCGATACTGATTTCAAGTTGAAAGATTTCAGGATGAAAGAAATGACTCGAGGAAGAGAGTCAAAGAGATTCAAACCATCTTGCTTCGCGAAAGAAAAACGTCGACAAAAGGTAAGCTCATGTATGTACTCGTCACGAGAGAGACTGCAGGATCCGGGCCAGACCCTTGGGCTCAAAGGCGTAGGTCAATAATCTCTTAAAGTTCGATAAGCTTCTTTTTCAAAATTCAACATTATTTGTATAAGAGTAAAAGAAAATTTTATAAAATAATTAAATTTAAAATAGACAATACTATTAAGTAAAAATTATATTATTATTAAGAAAATTTATTTATTTATTCAAAATTTTATCTTATAATTTAACTTCAGAATCATCTCCATTATTTGAGACAATTTTTCTTTTATCCATTTGTTTTTCGATTTTCAAATAAATATGTCTCCAGTTTTTCGACCGTCAACTTCATTTCTCGTCAAAATACTCCATATTCGGACTGAAACATAAAATCCTCCCAGTTATGAGAACGGAATTCACGTAACATTTCGTCAGAGAAAAAAATCGAAGAAACTGGTTGTAAAAATTTCGTGTAACGCAGAGAGAGAGTGAATATCGGCCGGTGGATATCGTTTCGCGGGAGGATCGCGAGAATAATAATGATTGTAATTTATGGTTGACTGCGCCAATGGACCCACTGCTCGGCAAGTCCTGCGGATTAACGGAACTCCCACGCGTGCCCTCAGTATATACTGTCTTTCGTTCCAAGTTCATGAATCGCCTAAGACGTGTATGCCCCTGGGTGCCCTTCCTAGTGGTTCCCGATGTCGATAGTACAATGATAAGGATGTTTGTAATGCGATTGTTCGACATCTAAATCTCTGCAGAAACGCAAAAATTTTTACATTTGATATAGAATTTATTAAATTTATATATTTCTGTAATTTCTCTCATATATCTCTAGGTTAAAAATCTTATACGTTAACGTAAATTTTTTTTATTTAATTACAAATTATTTATTTAATATTAAATTTCAGTATGTAATATATATTATATAAAAATTAATATTCATCTTTGTAATTATTGATACTATTCAATTCTAACACGAGATTCGAAATTAATAATTCAATATTCAATTTAATTTAAATTTTATATATATATATATATATATTGATAATAAATAAGTATTGATTATTATTCATGATTAGTACGTTGCTCCATAATGTGTACAGTTTGGGCGCGTTGGGTTAAAGATTACAAATTAATTAATGGAAATATATGCATCGCGTGATCGGCCAAACAAAAGTGGGAAAAAGAAGAGAAAAGGCGTCCAATGCGCATTAAAATTACTAATTAGATGATAACGGATACGTGATTGAGTTACATATTATATTCGAATTTTAAGACATGAGGGAATTCTATTAAATATACGTACGTAAATACAATATTATTCTCTCATTTAATAACATATTTTCGGGATTGACCTCCTTTTTAAAGAAAAATTTCTATAAAGGAAAAATTTTTTAATCAACCAACAATAAATGTTTGAGCAATTAAATTACAAAACTAAAGAATTAAAAGTAAAATATTATTTATTTGTATGAAAGCGTTTTGTTTTTCGCTATTTGTAATTAGTTAACTGTTTTCATGAGATTTTCTTAAAAGAAAATAGACTCCATATAAAATAAGAAAGAATTTTCCAAAGTATTACTAAAGTATAATGAAATTTATTAAATTTAATCTTCATATAATATTGAAAAAACTGAGTAGAAATATCGGACGAAATACGGACGAAAACTCTTCTGGATGATTTATTTTTGCATTTATATAATGAAACATTCGAATTAAGCTCTGCCATCGGATCAGATACGAGAATAACAATACGAGTGTGTCTCGAAAGAGCGCTAAATTATGCGATGTAATGGAGCAAGCAAGTGGAGAGATTCTCATATTACGTGTTTTAATTACAAGTATGTGCCGCGTTGGCCGCTAGGATATCGTAAGAAAAACACCATCGTGTGCTAGAATCACTAATGGAGTATACACATGTGCCATATGTATAATATATATATATATATATACATATGAGAGCAACGGTATCTGGGCCAGCAATGTATTCTCATCGGCTGGCCAGCAACGACTCGAACGATCTCTGTTTTTAATTACCGAGACTCTAGAGACCGATCGCACACTATCTGACTCGAGGAACACTTCTGCGCCACATGGTCAAGGTGTTGTAACATCGAGCATTGAAGGACAGTCGGAAGTGACGTAATCGTAACACGTTTACAGAATCAAAATCACTCGTAAAAGTCGAACCCGCTTTGTGCATTATTCTAAGTCTAATAATTAACAGCGAATTATTTCGGAAAGTTATACGGAAGATAACAAAACTTTCTTTTTGCCAGTTTCTCTTTGCATTGAATTTAGTTGACGCTAGAAGCTTCCTAAAAGCAAGTGAGAATCTGTATTTAAAATACGTAATATTATACCAGCAGCTAATATATGATGGAATACGAGACAATATGACATTTACAAATAAAAAATGTTTCACGTAATATAATAAACATCAAAAATATAAAATGATGTATTAATGGTTTCTATTAATAAAAAATCTAAAAGTTAAATCTAAAAGTAAAATCTGGAAGTTCACATCGATATCTTTACATCGATATCTTTACATAATTGTAATTATTTAAATATTATTTTTATTTCAACATAATCCGACTTTAATTTGCTTAATTTACTTTTGTTAGATTATAGTCTTGTATGTGTAAAAAGTTTATATCTATAAAATGACAAAAAAATTCATTCAATTTTGAATATTTTTCATAAAGAAATTTAAATTTTTATCAAAAAATCTACTGAGTTGATAAAAAATCACGACACTAATCAAATTTCACGATACTATTTCAATTTTCAAAAGGTCGGATAATATAAAGGATTTTTCGCTCTGGGATCGATTGTTGCTGCCGTAAAATCATTGGGTCAGATCCAAGGGGTGAGATTATGAATCTTATAGGTATAAATCTTATTCGGACCCTACATCTGAAAGAAACGTGGCGTACATATTGTCAGCCCTCTCGCTCCTTGCTTTCGGTACAATGTCTCGCAAGGATCAGTGACGACAATGTGAACTGAATCTTTCTTTATACTGCTATTTCTTTCTACCTTCCATTCGTTAATCGCCTTCGTAAATTCACAACAACGATTTATCGAAAAGACCAAGGGAAATCGGGATATGTAATTCTACCTGGAAATCGTTTCTGAAAGATTGTATTTTATTGTCAATTTTCGGCATAGAATTCTATGTCATAATCAATGAGTGCATGCAACGTTTTCCCCTCAAAAGCTGATTCATATTGTTTTTCATATTGTGTTTAAATGTAAATGTAATAATAGAAAAATTAGAAACAAATCAGTTTAATTATTGCGCGGACAGAATTAATGTATGTATATCTTTTTGATGATAATTATTTTCTAGTTCACTCTTGAAAGGATAATTTTGTTTAGAAGTCACAAATCTCTTGAAGCGACCTAAACCTTCTCAAATATCCTAACGTATCTCAGACTCTAATGGAAGTAGGAAATCTAAGGCATTCCTTAAACAAGCATTCCTTAAAATAAATAAATTATGTGAAAGTTCTAAACGAGATCATATTACTAGTACAGGGAATGTAAACCGCCGGCAAAGATATAATTCCTAAGACTTTTTACTACAAGTAAGCTTATATTACATAGAAATTTATGATACAAATAACATGCATTCCTTTTTCTCCAATACGAGAAGTGTAAGCGGTAATATGACGTAATTGTGTATGAAGTTGTAAAACGTATGAGAAAAATGCTCGCCGATAAATCTCGCTGATGCGATCGATCGGTTACGATTTGTTTGTCGGATCTAATAAACATACACGCTATCACGTGCGGTTTATCATTAGAAATTAGGCTGCAAGATTTATGATATTGGAGCGCGTGATACGCCATCGTAAAATATGGGATCAAGTTGAATAGAGATTTAAATTTCCATGTATGAGCCAATCATCTTCTCGAGTTTCCTAAGGCGAAGGTCGTTTTCTACAAAGTTTTACTACCTGTTGCCCAGCTTCCGGAGTTGAGAGAGCGTCTACTGATATTTCACTCTCTATACTCCTAATCGATTAATTATATTTTCGCATAACAATGACAGTTTTAAATACTAAAAAAGTCAAAAGTTTTAATATTGCCATAAAAAAATCCTACAAACTCTTACAACTTTCAATGACGACTTATTAGTAATTTTATAATCGATTAACGACAAGAAAAAGATTTCTCATAAGCGTTAATTAAAAATCTATAGAGTCAGACGAGAACGTTAATTCCCCGAAACCTTTATACCGTAAAATGGAGGGAGTTTATTACTTTTTGCCTCGATAAAGTAAAGAGATAATCGCGATCGCCTTTTTATTACGGCGGGTTAACAGCGGCTCGCTTGTTTACGATGCGATTAGCACGGTCCAAGGCGAAAAAATCTGGATTAGCGATCGTGTAGAGAGAGGAGACTCGCAGGAAATGATTCGGGTCGTGTTTCGGATCGAGTGAGCGAGCGCTTTGGATTTTCCGCTTCGTCGAGCGTTCCGCGGCGATTTATGTTCTACGAGCAATTTAACGTACAATTAGAGTGTGGAGTGTTAGTAAGGTGCACGATAGTAGTGTGTGTGTGTGTGTGTGTGTGTGTGTGTGTGTGTGTGTGTGTGTGTGTGTGTGTGTGTTGTGACTATATGTAGTACTCTCTCTGGCGCCAATATGCGAAGAACACCGAAGAAAGGGAGTATCGATACGCGATGGTTTTAGAAATTTAATTAATTGACCGATCGTTTTAATCAGTCTCTTGGTATGGTATGTACACTCAATTACTGCAATTTGTTTCTTCGATGCCATTATATAAGTCTAACAGATGTAAAATTAATTTAAGAATTTTATTTCATGATATTATTAGAATCTCTGAGTATTCTCTCCAAAACAAATCGTGAGCAGCAATTTTATATATACAATATAGATTTCAATATATTCATCATTTCAATATACAATTTTTAACAAAATTATAAATTTTCAGAATACACATTGTGATATGTAGACTATCGAATATTCTTTATTTTTTGTGAATATACACTTTTAAAATTATGGGTCCTGTTTTTGAATACTGAATATGTTTCTATACTGAGATTGCACTTATCTTGTGATAACTGCACCATATACGGAGTGTCAATAACTATATACGGATGCAACGTTCATGATTTCTTCAAGGGTTGAGAATAGTGTCGTGTGTATAGAGAAGAGAAGAAAAGCGAACGTGAAGAGGATGGCAAAACGACGACGATGGGGTACGCGTCGGGAATGCGTAATGCAACCGACGACTGTGCAAAAATTCGCGATTCCTAAGAACAACTTAGAATTCTCTCCATTTCTACCATATACGTACATCCGAAGGTGCAATGAACAAACTTCGGATGTGACCTCGACGAAGTCTCCTTACTATCCATCATTTGTATCTCAGTTGTATCAAAGTGCAATAAAGCAAAAATACTAAGTGTTATTCTCGACGGAACGTCTCCGTATCTATCTCTCTAGTTACAAGTTAACTAGTGTCCACTGTTAATTAAATTATCACTATTGTTAATTGAAAGAATTGTAAAAGAATTTTATGATAGCGATGACTAACCAATTTCTCCTTTGTTTTGAAATAAAATTAAGAGATACATATAACTAGTCTTTCTTATTGATGAGTAGGAGTATATCCGAAATATGAATTTTCCTGACAATCTTATATGTGGGCATTCACGGTATTGAAGACCGCAAAGAGGTTACTGTGTTGTACGGATAACGCGAGAGAAATGCGGCATACTTAGAGAATCGTGATATCCAGCGAGATAGATGCGAATTCGCCATGTCTAATTTTATGCGAAATCTCACACGTCTAGGATCCTGTACCCTCCCAGAAAAGTTGATTATTGAGATTTTTCCACAAAATATAATCGAATTACTAAAATGTTAAAAATATATAAAATTAAATTTTTCTTAAATTCAGATTTTAATTTATCATTATTCATTTGTATAATTCTGTAAAATTTTGTTATTATGAATCTCTCTCATTTATAGAGAAAGAGATTACTATTGAATAATAACGGATCATTATCAAAATTATGAAATAGAAAAAAATAAAATTTTTTTAATATAAGAGAGCAAATTTTGCAATGGTATTATCGTCAAGAATACGTTTAGTTGCTTAAAGATTAAGCGATTTAATCTTACAAGTTTGTCGTATAAACAAGCTAGTCTTTAAATAACGTACTTGTTTACTTTCTCATGTTTTTTTATAATCAGAATTTCAACCGGAAATCAAGATAAAGTCGAACTACTACTACTTTAATAATTCGAGTTATCTTGTCGATAGTGCATGTCAACAGATAACGTATCAGAGGGTAGTCAGTTGCATCGTATGCATCCAAAAAATATCGTCAATTCCAGACGAACGATTTTGTCATTATTACTTTTGTTTCTAATCCTTCCCTTCCACGATCCTTCCAAAAGCGTTCGTTTCGATAATCCACGTGTCGATTACTCTCTTTGGACAATATCACATCACCATATCCGATCCGATCACAAACAAAACACTGGATCATCGATTCGCGAAACGAGAATGTGAATACGACGGTGAACGCTGCGCATCTCGACGCCAACTGAACGTGAGTTCAGTCAGCAAAGCGCGACCTGCTCTCGGCGGCTGGAGTTTACGGGGCCCGAGTGACGCTCTGTCCTATTGGTCGGTAAGCCAAGACCTCGTGGTCCCGTCGCCATTCGGTTACAGGTGCAGCGAGCACGCGGGACTACGAGTTCCAGCTTGTCGGCCAATAAGATGGAGCAGAGATTGCAGGTGCAGTGAGTTTATGAAACTGCTCATACTATAGCGCGCTTTTTGAATCGAAACACTCTGTTCTTGATCGAATATCGACACATCATTTAAAAAATTTGGTATCAGGTATTCTATACTTTTGGAAAGACTAAGAAGATTTCTGTACCCCCCCCCTCTCCCCTCGAGAGTTAGAGTTTTTTTAATAAAACATTTAGATTTAAAAATAAAAATTTTTGTAAGAAATAAGTTAATAAAGGGTAAATGAAAAACATAATTAAAATAGTTTAATATTATTTGATTCTCTGATTGATAAGATTGAAAAATTTCTATTTTCATATTAAATATTAAATATCTAATATAAATATGATATACAGAAACCAATGATCAATTTGTTGGATCACCGCAACAGGTTCCATAGAGGTTCAAAGCCATTAGAGACTAATAGTAACTCGCTTGGGCTTGCTAATTGTCGATTAATTATGACTAATCATCCACGCCAATTCGCTCTGTTTCCATGCAACTAACTGCATCATATGTCCCACTCGCGACCGTGATAGATCGAGACGTGTTAATTAGTCGCTACCCGCAATTACGGCAATATGTTCTGCGCGAAAACAAACAGTTGCCGCAATAAGTGACTAATTGACTTTAATATATTGATGTGAAATTCATATTTATATGAAATTCATACACATTAAAATTGTAAATTACATATGTATGAGAGCGAATACTCACGTTTGTGGAAAGCTGACTGGTTAATGAATGCACCTTCTCCTGAGCATCCAGTAGTTCGCGACGTAATTTTCTCAATTCGTGTGCCTGCTTTTCCTCGGCCGAACTGTAAAGACTGCTCGCGGTGGACACTAGAGATACCGAAGAACCATGAACTAAAATGAACACAACATTTATTTTTATTTTTATCGCACATTCCTAATATAAATTCAATATTTAATTCTAAATATCAACTTTGAAAAATTTGAAATCTTTTGACTTAAAAATTTCAAGTTTCGAATGTTATATATTGTAACATACTGAAAAATATGTGTAATAATTATAGTTTTTAACTTCACCCAATTTTATATTATATTAGAAAAGATAGAGTATAACCAATCAGTCCTAAGTTGATTTTACTTTCCTAGAAAGTTCAATTACGAAAGTCGCGTTGAAATTAATTTCTTCAAATTCTCAGAAATGTTGCATTTTATGACGTCGGTACTCACTATCATCGTCCTTGTGTACATGTTGATACAAGTTTGGCGGTTGTCGTGAGGTGTGCGTGGGTGTCGGCGACGTTGGTTGGGACCAGTGCTGGCCAGTGCATCCTGCCGATCCCACGGGAACGCTATAATATGGCTCCACTCCAATCCCCATGCCTATCCCGACTTCCTCGCCCACTGATGACGAAGCGCCGCTTCCACGTGCCAACATTGATGGGTACATCTTTTCGCTTTTGGTAGACCTGCAAAAACACAAATACAATATGCTTTCTAGATTCAAGATATCTCTAAACGATTGCTCTATCAAATCAGAGAAGATTTCGGCCTTTCGGCCTGAGATATTTCATCGACATTGCGCCAATACACAAAGTTAAAGTATCGACGTCAAAGATATTCAGCACAAAAGCATGAAGTCTTGTTACTCGATATTATCGACGGATTGATACCGCAATTTTTGATATATAACCGTCGACATCGAAGCCTTTATTTTTGATACTATTTTTGACGGCATCGATGAAATATTGTAATCGTATTTGTAAATTACATTTTAAAGAATAGTTGTTATACAAATAATTTACAATTTTATATTCTTTTCGATGCCGTCAGTTTTATATATTGATCATTGTCTATATAATAATAAGCACAATCATTGTAAGTTTTTAATAGGATTATTGTTAGAAAGAATACTATGTTTGTTTATGATATATAATACTATAATAGTTTATTCTCGTAGACATATTTTCTTCTCACTGATACTTCGCTAAAATAGCATGTTTTCATTTTTCAAATCTATAATTATATAATCTTTTTTCTCTCTGTTAATATTCAATTTTTCTGTAATGTCTCGAATCCTTTAATATAATTTTATACAATTGATTATTAAAATACAAAATTAAAATATAATTCAGGATACAAATTCATACATAATAAATTATAGATAAATAATCGTTACAATTGGAAAGCGACGTTTATATTTCAAAAGATTTGCAATGACTTTAGAAAGAATTAAAAGTATCAATCGCGGGTTACTTGAACCAACAATTCGAGTCTCGAATCTCTCTTCTGAATAAATAACGAGAACACGCCTGTCTACCTGCTGAGTGTGCGCGCAATTAGTTGATCCCGGAAGAAACTTCTAATTAAAAGATAAGCTTACTTCCAGTCGACAAGAAGTCAAGGATCATTTCGAGATGGTTTGTAGCAACGCGCACACTCGATCTCGTGGCAAGAGCTATCGATCCGTGCCATCATCTCAATCTGAATTCGTCATTATTTTCAATCCTTTTTATTTTTATATATTGCTCGTTTAATTGAATAAACGAAATTTCGTTCCAAGAGTTACTTAATATCTCTGTAATAATGACGAATGATTGCAATAATGAATAAGAGTACATTGTAGATACATAGCTCTCGATTGCTCGGTCCAGAATATTGATGAAGCATTACCACGCATGCATACAACTGCACAAGCAACATGATCAAACAACGAACTTTGGCAATAATAGGCAATATTGAATTCGATATATGAATAACTATCAGTACAATATGTCGGAGATGCGTAGAGCGCACTCAGTGAATTACATTTATGTAACTGCATGTGTCCTATATAAAATCTTTAGAAAATCTAGAATTTTAGGATTTAGATACTCTAAAAATAAGTACCAAAAATTTTAGAATCATAATTTTTGATTCCAGAACTAAAAAAATTTTTCTCTAGCTATTTAAAATCCAAAAATGTTGAAAATGTTGAAAACTTTGATACTAGATTCTAAAATAAAATAATCTTCGAATCTATGGATTTAGCTTGAAAATTAAACTTTCCAGGTAAATTTCCACAGGTGCCTATGAGAGTAACTCTCGAGTGTGTATGTGTATGTCTTTTTTTAATACTTATGCGTAGAAAACAGGCTTGTTGAGTATGCTTTCGCACTACCTTGGGAATGTCCTGTCCCGCAGATGGCTGGAACGGTCAATCAAATTATCCTGCGTTATTTCACGATCAGATTGATTAGTCAAAAAGTAAGTGACAGAAGAAAAAGCCGAGAAAAAAAGATCTATTCATCCATAAATTAAATGCTGAAAACGTTTTGCATCTAAGCATGCGACTATACATATCGATGTTTTAATCAGGCAATCAAATCGATTCTCAAACTGCTCCTCGAATAATCGATATCAAATTTTAAAAATATAATTAGAAAGATAATTAAAAGTATCTTTCTAAATATTAATATATCTTTTGATAGACACTGGTTGAATTGCAGGTTTTACAAAAATCCTTCTATAGAATCCTTCTACAGACAAATTTTAACATCATCAAAATAAAGTATAATATCGATGATCCAAGGATCTCTTAAGCTTAAGGATACAGCCGAGGAAATGGAAACCAATAAAGTATGATACGCTGGGAATTTCTCACCTGATGGAATTGCTCCTATTCAGTCTGGGTGGCGCTGGAGATCCTGTGGAGTCCCTTTGGTGCATTAAAAGACGGGCATGCGTCAGACTCGCGCGATGTGAGCCCAATGATTCCACGCTATCCGCCTCGCATAAACCCATCCCTGAAACAAATTATCATAGTTTCAAAATAATAAAATATATGTAACAGATGAATTGCGAAATAAAAATAAAATTTGTGAAATAAAAAGCTTGTTAAAATAAACTATCGTAAAATAAACATGAAAAAAGTATGGTATAAATATAGTAAAATATAAAACAGATGATAACAGATCCTCTCAGAACGCATTTAAATCAGAATATATAAAGACTATTCGTTAAATATTGTATAAATGACGTAATATAATTAAATGGCAACGTAATATAATTAAATGGTATATCTTTCTCGTGTGTTAAAAAACTTTTGGATTTGAAAAATTTGTGTAAATTATTTAATAATTTTTTGAATATTTAAAAATAAATTTTTTTATGAGATTATTTCATCGTCTAGATTTCATCAAGAAAGAGATATATGCATTCTTTAATTAAAAATATTAAAAAAACTATAACAATTTAATAAAATTACCTTGCGATCGTCCACTAGGCGTATAAGTGTTGCTATGCCTCATCCACGAAGTGGTATAGGGACTGGTGGGTGTGCCATAGTAACCCTGAAGATCAGGTGCGGCATAATTACTACACGTGTCACTGAGACTGCCATCAGATGGTTTCAATATTCGGGGCGAAAATGATGCGCTCGCTGGTCCAACGCCACTTCCTCTCTCGCGATGATGGGCAGATGCGAAAAGAGCGGTGAATTCTGGACTACCGGGTTTTGGCAAACTCTGTGAGCCTAGCATGAGGCGATCTCGAACTGATTGCGAAAGTTGACTGGCACTAGGACCGGTGAGGCTATAGCTTTTGTAGTGATGACCCTGATTTGATGCTGAAGAGTTCGCTTGCAATTCCGTGGTACACGTTTGCGTACCGCCGGATACTTTGACCTGCATTCAAAATAAAAATTCGAATTTATTCAATCCTCTGTTTAGCAGACTGAAATTGAGAAAATCTTCTTAACATTCTAATTAATTTCTTGAATTCAAAGAACTTTAAATTTTTTAATTTATTATGTTCGTAATTTTTATACTACCTTGGTCCTCGGCACGGCGCTAACTTGAGCTGTCCTTGTGGCATCCTTGCTGCCATTTTGGATGCCATTCGGACTCGAACTAGTGCCTGCACTATGTCTCTTAACGTAGCCGAAGCTTTGTGGTACCCCGCGAACCTTGCTACTGCTGCTAGTTGATGTGCCCGACGAAACTTTCTGTGGTTTCTCGCCATTTGCATATTCGGCCATGGTCTGTTTCCGATGTTTATCCTATGTTTCAGTTAAATTATACAAATATTATTATTATTATTATTATTAATATCGTTAAAAGTATATCACTTAATAATAGTTAATATTGTAATAAATATATAAATGTTAGTCTTAAAATAAGAGCTGTTTTTAGTTTTTTTAAGGCCTCATCTAAAGTCTCGATCTCAAGTTGATTTTAACTTGTATTCATAACATTATAAAATATAAAAACTATCGATTAATCTACGATAAGATAAACTGAAAAAAAGTCAAGAATCAAAGATTTGAATGCTTCTTAAAATACCTCACCTGTGATCTTCTGGAGGGACTAGGGCTGGGGGGCGCGCTCTCCTTGTCTCTCTCTCTTGCGGCGCCCGCTTCGATGTACTTCTTCCATTGTTGGCTGTTGGAGCTGCTGCTGCTACCAGAGCCGTTCGGGCCCTGTTGCTGCTGCTGCTGTTGTTGTTGCTGCTGGTGCTTGAAGGCCGAACTCTCAGTTTGCTGAGAGCTGTCGGACTTTTTCACATGCGGATGGTGACTGCCGGGGTGTCCACGCGAACCCACCACACGGTACACCAAGTTATGACTGTTACCCTGCTGCGCCCCTTGGGGGGTGGCCGATCCTCCGCCACCCCCCACAATTACACCACCTCCGCCCGGCACTCTCTGTTTATTATAGAAATATTGATCCAAATTAATTACACATATTACATACATACATACACATATATATATATATATATATATATATTCAAAATGATATTTTACAGATTGTGACTGCTTGAATATAACATTATTTTTGATTTACAATTAAACATTAAAAATATTAAATATCTATCAAATATCTAAAAATTGATCATTATCAATAGATATTAAAATTAGAATTAAGAATTCTCAGAGATCAATTCTCGAACTTGACAAAAGTCAAAATCCTTATGACATGATTCAGAGCATGGGCGCCATGACGTGATACTTCGATGATTTCCGTCGCCATTTTCATCTTCTATGTTACTTTTTCGATTCTCGCTTTTATCAGTGCCATATTATAAATATGAAAAAGATATAAATGCTTAATACAGCTGCATTTTTATGAAGAACTTAAATAATAATATGTAAATTATTAGAAAATAAGAATTCTCCAATATTATTATAATAGAGCCTTGTAAAGCTTTTTAAAAGTATAATTAATTTTCTGAAAGAAATATAAAAAAATAGAAAATATATAAATAAAAAAAATTTTTGAACACACACACACACACACACACACACACACACACACACACACACACAC